ACATTCAAGTTCCAACCTCCACCCACACCTGTCAAATCACCAGAGCAACCTGCTACGTCCTCACGTTCTGTAGCTATCACACATTCCACCGTGCCGCAAGTCACCTCCACATTTATTCCAAATTCCACACACTCTCACCGACAGGGGTGTGTCCCACGCCATCAAAGCCACCTGCGCCGTCCACACACTGCGTGGGCTCCACACGTTCCCCACCTTGCTCCCTCTCACCCCCAGTTCGACTTTTGAGGCACCTCAAAACTCACCTCCACTTCAAATCTTCGAGCCGCCAACCCTCCCACCCCACCCACTCACCAACAGGTTCAGTGTCCCGCGCCATCAGAGCCACCTCACAATGTGAGCACCACACGATCCTCACACACTGTGAGCACCACACAATCCTCACACACTGTGAGCACCACACAATCCTCACACACTGTGAGCACAACACAACCATCACCATGCCCACCATTCCTCCCACCCACTCACCAACAGGTTCGGTATCCCGCGCCATCAGAGCCACCTGCGCCGTCCGCACACTCTGCGGCCGCCACGCCCACAGCACCAGCCGCCACGCGTCTGGCACAGCCCCCACGTGCCACGCCACAGCGCACGGGTCCCCCGTCCCCGCCACACACCGCACAATCCGCACCCTCCTCACCACCGGCCTTAAACACCTCGACAGCCACACCATATGCTTCGCGTCAATCCACCCGCCGCCTTTTCGAGCTGAAAGAGACCGGCGGAGGGTGCGGCGGAAGCGGTCGAACATGAAGAGGGGCGTTCGGTCCATCTCCACGTGCCGGATGTACATCCAGGCTCGGAAGTACCGCGCCGAGCGCAGGCACGGGCGCGCCGGGCCAACGTGTGAGCCTGGAGGACCTAAGAGAGTGCCTCTACTGCTTGCAGTGGGCCCTTGTTTGGGAAAGAAGCACTTTTCTTCTGTGACTACAGACATGCCGTTGAACATGCACGAGCGGGCAATGCCCTTTGCGCTGCTCTCCCCTCCCACCCTGTCCCCCTCTGCTACCCCTTCCATACCCATCTCATCCGCACCATCCCCATTATCCACACCACCAACAGCAGCATTCCCACCACCACCACCACTGCTGCTGCTGCTACCATTGCTGCTGCTGCTACCGCTGCTGCTGCTGTTACTCTTCCGGCCCGTGGGGATGATCGGCACCTCCATCTCAGCCTCGATAAGCACGAACGGCACGTACATGCGCGTCAGCACCGGAAGGTCCGGCGCTCTCCGTCCCGGGTGCTTCTCGTTCTTCTTCACCAGGCTGCGCCGCACTGTGAACAGCTGCCCGTCTCGCAAGGAAGACGATCGCCATAGGTCCTCCACTCGGTTGACGCGGAGAGGGGGGAATTCCTCTACCCGCCCCATCCACAACTGCGGGTCGCCTGTGACTGCTGGGGTTGGGTCGCTGCTGCTGCTGCTGGCTAGCAGGCGACGCCTGCTGCTTGGTTGCAACTGGCTGCTCGTGTTACCTGCTGGTAACTGGATGCTTGCGTTACCTGTTGGTAACCGGACGCTTGTGTTACCAGTTTGTACCCGGATGCTCGTGCTGCTCATTAGCTGCTGCATAGCAGTGTCTCTTTCTCTTTCCCTGTCTCGGTCCCTGCCTCTGTCCCTATCTCTGCCCCTGTACCTGCTCCTGTCTCTATCTCTTTCCCTGTACCTGTCCCTGTCTCTGTATCTGTCTCTTTCCCTCGCTCTCTCTCGCTCCCTCTTCACACCTCTGTCACCTCTTGCTACCGCCAGGAAAAGGGAAGGGTGCTGCCCAGACCCTCTTTCTGCCCCTGCCCCTGTCCCTGCCCCTGCTCGCCCTGTCCCTGCCTCTGCTCGCCCTGTCCCTGCCTCTGCTCGCCCTGTCCCTGCCTCTGCTCGCCCTGCCCCTGTCCTCGCACTAACCAGCAGCCGTCGCCTCCCACCCCCTCTCCCCTTCAGCAGGTCCTTTCCGCCACCACCCTTCCCACTTCCGCCCTTCTTCTTCCCTTCCTCTTTTCCCTTCCCCTTCCCCTTCCCCTTCCCCTTCCCCTTCCCCTTCCCCTTCCCCGTCTCCTTCCTCTTCGTGTTCTCCCGCTCCCACTCCTCCACATCTGCCCGCCCCCCTTCCCCACCTTTCCCTCCCCTTCCCCTCACCAATCTCCCATACTCCTCCAGAAACTCATGCAGAGAACCGAGTTGCTCTACAAAGGGTACAAACCCGCTAGCAGCAGCCATCCAAGGAATGGACGAATCACAGACGGTCTTATCGCGGACAAGGCAGGGCACTGAGGGGGCGGGCGGGAGGGAGCCCCAGAAGGGCAAATGACGCATTTGAAAGCGGTTGAAACCGGTTAGAGAGAAGAATGCGAGGATGAGGCGGGCTTGTTCGCTCTGTGAGGCTGGGAGGAAGAAGCGGCGGGTGTCTTTAGGGGAGGGGAAAGGGGTGGGGGTGGGAGGGTCAGGAGATTCTGCAGTGCCGTAACTGTTTATGTCACTGTTATTGTTACCATTACTGTTATTGCTGCTGCTGCTGCTGCTGCTGCTGCTGCTGCTGCTTTCACTAGTTTGACCAAGGTCAGCAACAACGCCAGCAACGCCTGCCACTCCTGCACTCTCCCCCTCCGCCTGCACGCCCAAATCCCCCCCTCCACCCCCCTCCGCCTGCGCCTGCGTGCGCATGTCCGTGCCCGCGTCCCCCTCCGCGACCCACACGAGGCCCCTCAGCGCCGCATCCACAAACCCCCTGCACCGCTGCCCCACAATCACCCCCCACTTGTGCCGCAGAAACACCTGATTCGCCGTGCACACATCATCCCCGCTCTGACTAACAAAATACACCAGGTCGCTGGTCCGTATACTAGTCGACGGCTGGTGGTATACCACCACGGATTGCGGCACCAGAAACGCCTTGTAGTTGAAATACCTCGTCGTTAGCGCTACGTCCAAATCCTGACGCGTATACCCGACCTGGGGGTCAAACACTTGTGCTTCCAGCAGAAACGAGTGCCGGACGAGCAAACAGTGATCCTCTATCCCCACGGCGGATTCTCTTGGGTCGAGGAGCGTTGGGTCTAGCGCGGCGGCGACCTGCGGGTCTTCTATGGGCTGAGGGTACAGCTTCCCGTCGTTGCTAAAGTCGTCCAGGATCATATCCGCGCCGAACGCGGCGTGCAGGCGCATGCTCTCCCCCTCCGCCTTGCACCTGCTGCCCGTGTGCGTCTTCCTCGCGTGCCCTAGCTCCCTGCCACCGCTATCACCGCTGCTGCCGCCACTGCCGCTGCCGCTGATGCCACTCTCGTTCCCGTCGCCCCCCGCTCCGCTTCTCCTTCCGCTTCCCCCTCCGCTTCCCCCTGCGCTTCCCCCTCCGCCTTCCACCATTCCATCCATGGACATCATTCCCTTGAAGCTCGGTGCTGAGCCTCCGCCGGACTGCTCCCACAGGAACGGCAGGAAAATTACCCCCTCTCCCCCTCTAGCCTCGGCAAACATATACAGCTTCTGAAGCCACCTGTGACCTAGGGGAAACACGTCTGAGAATATGAATAATGCGTATTTAGTCTTAATTAGTTCCACTGATGCGTTCCGCATCGCGAATCCGCTCGCGTGGCGCCCTAGGTCTTTAATCGCCATGCGCCGCTCCTGCTGCTGCTGGTACTGCACTGACCCGTCAGAGGCGGGGGTTCCGCGCAGCACCGCGTTCCCGCGCCACATCCCCGCGTCCGCCTCGCGCTTCCGCCGCAGCACGTGCGCGCGCACGCGCGCGGGCATGTCCGCGGAGAGCAGGTAGACCACGGGGGAGGGGGGGGTGTTGCGGAGAACCGCGTCCAGATGCGCGGGCGCGGAGCTGAATGAGTGCTTAGCGGAGATGACTATAGTGATGTCCTGCGCCACCTGTTCGTCTAACGAAGCCTCGTACATATCAAACACCTCCTCCTCCTCCTCCACCCCACCCCTTCCGCCCCCGCTTCTCCCGCCGTCGCTGCCGCTACTGCTGACGTCAGCGCCGCCTGACCCCGAGTGCTTATGGTGTGACACGGCCAAAACCCCTTTATGGTCACGCTCCAGTAGAAGCAACCGCCGCCGCTCCTCTAAACTCGGGCCGACCTCTGCTAGCTTCGTCCCGGACCTCTTATCAGAACCCTCAGACCGCTTATCAGACTGCTTATCAGACCCTACGGACCACCGATCAGTGACCCGAACCTGAGTTGCCTCTCCATCCCCGTCCTCGTCAGTCCCGTTACTGTCACTATCCCCGTTATCGACACTCCCGTTATTCTCCTCCACCATCACCGCGCTTAGGATATCCGAAACGCTTTGATTCCCGAAATCTCCCAACCCTCTATGCCGCCATGGCTCCTCCGATCCTTCCGCCAACCCCCACCTTCCCAACCCTCCACCTCCGTTTCCGTTTCCTCCTTCGTTACCGTTTCCGTTTCCGTTTCCGCTTTCCCGTCTGAAGCTCTTCTCCTCTCCCAACGGATCGTCATCAAGGTCTATCCGCGATTCGAGCTCTGAGTAAAGGAACACGAAGGCGATCAAAATCGCCAGCAGCAGCAACAGGCGCCCGGTGGACAGGAGCAAGTCGGGGCCTGCGTGCGCGGAGGAATGTGCGCGGCGGCGATGGCGCGCGGAAAGAGGTTGCGCGGAAAGGGGGCTGAAATCGGCTTCCGCGGGATGCGCATGTAGGGGGGTTGTCTGGTAAAGGGGTGAGTGGTTATTAACAAGAGGGGAGTGCTGTGGATGAGGAGGAGGATTTTGGTGGGAAAGGGAGGAGTGGTGGGCATGGGACGTTTGGTGGAGGCCGGGCGAATGATCTGACGTCACGCGGTGAGCCGCCTCCTTGTGCTTGACGGTCACCATGGGCCGCTGCTGCTCTTACCATTGGCTGCTGCTCTCACCATGAGCTGCTATCATTGGCCGCTGTTCTCGTAATCATGTGCTACTCGTCTATCGCACATTGGCCAGCCGTATCGCGCTCGGATCAGAAGCTACTCGTCTCGTGATCATGGCAGGCTGGGATGTCGAACAAGAGAGGGCCTCAGATGTTCTCGGTCTAAAATGTCCCCGGTCTCAGATGTTCTCGGTCTCAGATGCACTCGTAAGCAGTTGTATCATGGCCTTTGTGGTCTCCGGATCTCTGTGACTGTTGTAAACATTGCGATCATTGTGATCATCTTAATCGAGAGCCTGACCGACCTTCCGATCCCTTGGTACCATCTCGAATCTCTTTCTATTGAATGCAGGAGTTCGCTATTGAAATGGAACTGCATCGAAGTGATGAGATTCGATGCAATCAGGAACTCGATCAGGGTCTGGGCCTGTGACACAACAATCTCCCGAGCCAATTAATCGACATTTCGCTTGATCATAGATAGCTCGCAAATCGCAGCTGCCTGTCCGGAATATGCTCTATGAATTGTACCTTCACACCCGTACCCTAATTATGAAATCCCCGATCTTCCGCTTTAGAAGACTAGATGTGAGACGAGATCGCGAACCAGAGGAAAGACGTACGGTGAGGTGATTAAGAGAGTGTCGTCGTGCTGTAGGAGGTAAGTCGTGAGTGTGACGAAGACCAAGGACTCTTTGGGAGGTAAGAGGATTTTTAGGGAGTCAAGAGGAGGACCTAGTTTGGTACAGAATGTTCAATTCAGGTATGGTAGCACTAGGTTTGGAAGGATACTGTACTGTACCACTGAAAACCAAGCTGATGGTAGGTATGGTATGGGAAATGTGGCTTGGTTGGGGATGGTATGGATGGTACAAAACAAACACGTGCTGTGCACAAATCACGAGGCAGATGTCCTACAACTGATGAGATAGAGCACTAAAACGCAGAGAACCTTGCTGAATCGTAGTCGGATGGATGCCTTGAAGCTCCAAGTACTAACGGACTGAGTTTTTTGTACTGTATGTGACGGAAAAGAGTGAGCCGTCAGCAGGCAAGGACGGCGGGAGAGCGGGAAATCTTGGGGGTTCCGTCGTCGCACTTGGTTTGATTGGTCTGAAGCCAGTCAAAGTCGGTTAGGCCCAGTCCCTTGCTCAGGTTTGGTGGGGCAGAAGTCTCGTTGAGGCTGCCTTCAAAATGAGGTTCTTATTTAAAATACCGCCGGTTCATAAACGTCCTCAAATTGCATATTTTACTTCAATTCCTGAATCTGCTCCTGCTTTTCGGAAGAAGTGATCACTGAACTCCTCCGATTCAAAGTGGCTTCCGGAAATGTCACATACTTTCAACACGCCTTCCCCGACCTTAGTTTGCTTGTGAAATCTGCTACGCCGGGTTTGGTTGAACCTTGTCGCTGCGCGCCACGGTAGGCTCGGAGGAGGAAGGCATCGTCTGGGCGAGGCTGGTGACTGGTCACGGGCTGCGCTAACCACGAGCCGGTCGTATGGTATGGCAGCCGTCAGAAATTTTTGCGACACCGTCAGTCAAATCATTCTCGTTACAATACAATACTTTCTCGCTTTACATATTCCTCCAAATTCTATGAGCGCCAATATGCCAGAAATCAAATTACTGTACACAGCATACGAGAGTGGCTAATGCCAAATGCTGTCAGAACCACTTCAAGGTCGCATTGTAGCTTGCCGCGCTAAGAATTCTCGTGTGCGGCTCATGTGAAAGGCTCAGGCGGGTTGCGAGAAATTTGCCGCGTGTCGCGGCGCCTAGGACGGCCAAACCAGGAGGAGCAAGTCTGCTGGTGCAGCCTTTGCGCTACGAGTCACTTATCAATCGAGCTAGCTCACCTTTTCCTTCCCAACCATTAGGCCCGCAACCGTTCCCCCCATGGTCTCAGAGGAGGCGATTCCGCAATCCGACATGGCTGGCGGCAACCCACCAGCCTCGAATCGCGCGCCGAATGCTACTTATTCCTCGGTCCCGCAAAACGTCACCACCCGCGTCGCGTTCGTACTAATCGACGGAATCGGCGACGTGGCCGTGCCGTCGCTGGGCGGCCTGACGCCGCTCGAGGCGGCACATACACCGAATCTGGACGCGATCGCGGCGGCGGGAGTCAACGGCCTGATGGACCCCGTGGAACCCGGGCTCGCGTGCGGCAGGTAGGAAGAACCCCGCGCTCCCCTGAGGCGCCTCAAAAGGCGCCGACGAGGGTCCTGCTTTGAGGCGCCGACGAGGGTCCTGCTAAGAAAGAAAAGCAGCCCCCATAGTTCAGTTTTGAGGCGCCTCAAAACTAGTCCCCTGAGGCGCCTCAAAAGGCGCCGACGAGGGTCATGCTAAGAAAGACAAGCAGCCCCCACCCTCCCCCGCGCTCTCCCGCCCCCTCCTGCGCCCTCCCGCCCCTCCCGCGCCCTCCCGCGCCCCCCCACTCCCCCCCCGAATCGGGACGCGATCGCGGCGGCGGGAGTCCACAGCCTGATGGACCCCGTGGAACCCGGACTCGCGTGCGGCAGGTGCGAATTCGACGTGCTGAGAGTTCCCCTAAATGAGGCGATTTTTGACTCGACTAAAAAAAGTTCCCTGGAACCTGATTTAACGTTTGCCGCCTGGAGCGGCGGGATATGGACCCCCTAGAACCCAGACTGGCGCTGGGATATCGCGTTGCGATTTAACGTATGCCGCCTGGAGCGACTGGCGAGAGGCAGGTAGGGAGCAACGTGTATAAAGTGAATATTTTGAGCAACGTGCAGGTAGGGGCCACATTTTGAGACGTCTCAAAAATTCACTTAATAGGGAGCAATGGGTAAAGGAGGAGACGAGACGGATTGGAAGAGGAGGTGGTATTCATATCGCCCTATCCAGCACGTGCGGAACGGATTGTCAGCCAGCAGGGACGGGTTACCGTCTCTCTCCTTACGTGTGGTGCGGTGACACGGCGCGTCTCTCTCTCTGCTGGGATGCAAGCAACCCCCGCCACCACTACAGGGGTTGCATCATTTACCGCCCCACACACATTCATTGCCCACCTCTGCAGAACCCCCCATTTCCCCCCTCCCCCCAATGCAGTGACACGGCGCATTTCTCTCGGCTGGATTACAGTTTACAACCCCCGCCACCGTTGTTGGGAGCGAGGGCCCTAAAGCATCCCCTTACCGCACCCTACTCTTCCCATCCACCCCACCACTCTCCCCCCCAATGCAGTGACACGGCGCATCTCTCTCTGCTGGGATACAACCCCCGCCACCACTACAGGGGGCGAGAAGCGTTTAGCATATCTTACAGCCCCACACTCCCCCCCCCCACACTCCCCCCCCCCACACTCCCCCCCCACACTCCCCCGCCACACTCCCCCGCCACACTCCCCCGCCACACTTTCCCCCTCCACCTTGCAGTGACACGGCGCATCTCTCTCTGCTGGGATACAACCCGCGCCACCACTACAGGGGGCGGGGGGCGTTTGAGTCCATGGGCGCCGGCATTCCCATGCAGCCTGGGGACATCGCGTTCAAGGTGGGTGGTATGCTGTAAACGAGTATGATAAAGGGAACATCGCGTTCAAGGTGGGTGGTATGCTGTAAACGAGTATGATAAAGGGAACATCGCGTTCAAGGTGGGTGGTATGCTGTAAACGAGTATGATAAAGGGAACATCGCGTTCAAGGTGAGTGCGTAATACGGTGTGAACCAGTGTGCGATGTTGGGTGGGTGGTACAATGCTACAAACGAGTATGCGATGTTGGGTGGGTGGGTGGTACAATGTTACAAACCACCACTCCAGGGGGCGGGGAGCGTTTGAGTCCATGGGCGCTGGGATTTCCATGCAGCCTGGCGATATAGCATTCAAGGTGCGTCATGCGCATAATGAATCTGCTTGTAGCGAGCACATTTCAAACTAGTCCATGGGCGCCAGGATTCTTATGAAGGTGGGTGGGTGGGTGAGAGGGTGGTGAGCAGCATGGTAAGTTCTGAGCCACCTATCCGTCTCTCTACCTCTTTGCTCTTCGTTTCTCTCTGCTCCACAGCAACTTCGCAGGGAGGAACGAGGCATCGGGGATCGTGGTGAAGCGCCGGGCAGGTCATTGCTTCACCCGCTACTCGTCCTTACCCGCTCTCAAACGTCTTCCACTCCACCTCTTCTTCCCCCTCCTCCCCTCTCCCCATCCCCAATCAGAGCAACTTTGCAGTGTGGGACGAGGCAACGGGGATCGTGGCGAACCTGTTTTTGAGTCGACTCAAAAATGGGGATCGTGGTGAAGCGCAAAGCTCCTCTCTCTGTCCCTCCTCCACTGCCCTCCTGCACCCTCCCGTCTACTCTCCCCATACCTGCTCAGAGCAACTTGGCAGTGTTGGACGAGGCATCGGGGATCGTGGTGAAGCGTATGCGTTTGAGTCGACTCAAAAACAGAGCAACTTGGCAGTGTTGGACGAGGCATCGGGGATCGTGGTGAAGCGTATGCGCATGATTCCCTTATTGCTCTCCACCTCTGCAACCCCCATCCCCTGCCCCTTCTCCCCTCCCTCCCCTCCCTTATGCCCGCCCGCACAGAGCAACTTGGCAGTGTGGGACGAGGCATCGGGGATCGTGGTGAAGCGCCAGGCTCCTCTCTCCCTCCCTCCTCTAATGCCCTCCTGCACCCGCCCTTCTACCCTCGTCACACCTCCACAGAGCAACTTCGCAGTGTTGGACGAGGCATCGGGGATCGTGGTGAAGCGTAGGGCGGATCGGCACTTTGAGGAGGAGGGGCCAATCCTGTGCCGCCACCTGGACGGACTCAAGATCCCTGGTTTTCCGGACTACCAAGTCAGCATCAAGTATATACGACCCCACCCAACGTTTCCTAGTTTCTAGCCTTGTTTCACAAGTGATGGGACGTCTCATATTGTTGTTTGATTGTTTTCGAGTTACCACATCTCAAACGGTGTATTTGTGGGGGGAGGGGGCGGGGGGGCTCCACTTGTTTTCTTCCCATATTGTTTTTTTCCCATATTGTTTTTTTTTACCATATTGTTTTTTTCCCACATTGTTTTTTTCCCATGTTCTCTTTCCCTTCCACCCCCCCACAACCTCCCAACTCTCCTCCCACCCTCTCCCTTTTTAACCCTCTTAGATATGCCACAGAGCACAGGTGCGGCGTGGTGGTTCGGGGCCCGGGCCTATCGGACAAAATCAGTGGCACCGACCCTCTGAAGGACGGGCGGGCGCTAGGTGTCGCGACGCCATTGGACGGCAGCCCGGAGGCAGATCTGACTGCTTGTGTGGTGAACGCTCTGAGTGATGCGATCCCTGCAGAATTGAAAAATCATCCAATCAACGCGCAGCGGGCAGCGCAGGGAAAGAATGTGGCGAATGTGGTTCTACTCAGGGGCTGTGGAATCAGAATTGAGGTAAGGGGTTGGGAAGTGAACGGTTGTGGTGGCTGAAAGCATGGATGGTTGCCACGACCTTGATTGCGTCTGCAGCTGTCTACATGCCCCAGCCTGTAACCTTGTGATTATTGACTCAACCAACACTTGCATGGTTCCAACATTTGGCGTTTCAACACAAGCACGGCATGCAAGCATGTGTGGTAACACTATGTGGCTATGCATGCATGTCAAGGTTGAGTAGAGGATGCCAACCTGCTCCCGACCCAACGCCAAGCAACACCAAGTGCTAGCATTCCTCGTGAAAAAAGGAGTGTTTTGAGACGTCTCCTGGTGCATTGCTCTCAAAACACTCCTTTTTTCAAGTGCTGGCATTCCTGGTGAAAAAAAGGAGTGTTTTGAGACGTCTCCTGGCGCATTGCTCTCAAAACACTCCTTTTTTCAAGTGCTGGCATTCCTGGTGAAAAAAAGGAGTGTTTTGAGACGTCTCCTGGTGCATTGCTCTCAAAACACTCCTTTTTTCAAGTGCTGGCATTCCTGGTGGCCACAACCAAGTTCATGACTCGAGCTTTCCACATGCCCCCCCACTACCTACACCCCCTCATTCTTCACACCCAACCAACACCAGGTGCCAACATTCAAAAACAAGCATGGCATGAGAGCGTGCATGGTGGCCCCAACCAAGATGATTGCATGCCTGGGACTCACCTCCTGTGTTGAATCCTGCAGGGCTTTTCTTCCCGAATCTTACCTCACACATCCACCTCCCTCCAGGTGCCAACATTCAAGGACAGGCATGGCATGAGAGCGTGCATGGTGGCCCCAACCAAGATCATCGCAGGCCTGGGACTCAGCCTCGGAATCGACATCCTCCACGTACCTGCAGCCACGGGCGACTACCGAACCTGCCTCGCCTCCAAAGCTGAAGCCGTAGCTGCCGCCCTCTCCACCGTACCTCCCCCTCTTCCTCCATCCAAGACCAAGCCAACCAATCAAACCGACCAAAACGGTCGGATCGATCCAATCGCTCCGTTGATTCAATCTGCACCGTTGATTTCGGTTCCTGGGGAAGATGATCCGAGAGAAGGGTGCGGCGAGGGATATGAGTTTGCGTTTCTGCACATCAAGGCTGTGGATGATGCCGGACACGACAAGGCCGTTGATCTCAAGGTGCGCGCGCTGGAGGCCGTTGATCGCATGGTGGGACAGCTGGCGCACCGTTTGTGGCTGGTGCAGAGAGAAGGGGAGCGGGAGGAGGAGCAGCAGCAGCAGCGGCTAAGGTTCTGCCTGTGTGTAACAGGCGATCACTCAACGCCCATTCTGTACGGCGACCATGCAGAGGACCCAGTGCCCCTTGCCATCTGTGACCTCTCTGACTTCATCCATGCTGTTCCAGGGGGAGAGGCTGCTGTGCTGGGTACTGATCTGAGCCCCTTCCCCATCCCCACCGCTGCCACTGTTGCTGCAGCAGAGGGTGTTTCTGGGGCAAACGGTGGAGTGGGGGAGGGAAAAGGGGACGGAGGGAAGGAAGAGGGAGTGGAGACGGTGCCGGGGGTAGCTGGTTCATTGGCAGGGGATGGTGTGTCCAGGTTCAGTGAATCTGCGGCGGCCAAGGGGAGCCTGGGCAGGTTTCCAGGGAGTGAGATGATGCGCATCATCAAATGGTGGTCAGGGCGAGGATACTAGGTATTCGGGTAATGCAGCAAGTCATTGTACAGGATCACATTCTCTCTGGATGCACTCAGTTGATGGGAACCTTCGGAGTCATCATTTATTTTCTGAGTTGTACACTATTGAATGCACTGCGGCTGTGTTGTCACTGGTGTATGTTGGACATATGAGGTTTCAAAACCCCATGCAGACTATTCTATAGCTCAACGTTCCTTTCACAGTACCAATGCCACCTGGAGCTGCGTCAAATGAAACAGTTCTCATCTATTTTCTCGTATATGAAACTGAACATACAGAGCAGTGGAAGAATTACCGTGGTGCCATGGACAGCGGTTTAGTTGTGAAACTGCCCCTGTGACTGAGGGTAAATCATGGAGACTATTGAACAGTGAGGTGTGGAGGGACATGGTTGTGGTTTCTTGGTTGACAATGTGTAGGGGAACAGTTGCGGTTTCTTGGCATTACTCGGTTGCCTTCTCCACAACAGCAGGCGCAGCTGCGGGCTCTGCTGGCTTCTCTGCTACGGGTCTGTAACGCACAGTGATACATTAGACACACACACGATACACAAGAGTTGAAACGAAATCATAGACGCTTAACAACTGTCTGGTCGGACTCCATCATTCAGCACATGCCACATGGGGTAGTAAGTTTGACAACACATAAAAAAACATCAAGCTTTAAGTTACCAACCTGCCATGATTCTTAAAGACTGGCAGGCTGGAAATTCGTGTCATGTATGTGGTAACATAACGGAGTCTCCAGCAGAGGGACTGACAGAATTTAATTGACCAGTAGCGTTATGCTAGATGCGACGGACTCTTGACATTGTCAGAGGAGTAGGGAACTGACTCTGAGAGGGCCCATCGCGACAGCTGGATGAGTTGCGCGGTCTCGTTGGCGGAGTGGCAGGAAAAAAGTTGTTGGGTCGACTAAAAATAGTCACCTTAATATTGTTATGAGAGAAGCAGACTTACTCAGAGGGGGCCCATCGCGACAGCTGGATGAGTTGCACGGTCTCGGCAGGAAAGAAGTTGCTGAATTGACTCAAGAAAGTCACCTTGACATTGCTATGAGAGAAGCGAACTCACTCTGAGAGGGCCCATCGCGACAGCTGGATGAGTTGCACGGTCTCGTTGGCGGAGTGGCAGGAGAAGAGGAGGTAGTTGCGGGGCTGCACGCGCCAGGCGAAGCGCATGAAGAGCGCGGAGTACACGCACATGACTGATGTCGGAACCAATTCGGGCGAGAAAATGCGTGGTGGATGTGAGGGGGGGGAAGAGGTGGGGAGGGGGGAGAAGGAGAGGAGTAGGAGGGGGGAGAAGAAATGGAGACCGTTGAGACGAGATGACCAGGAACGGTGCAGAGACACAGTCACTAGCCTACTTTAAGAGAGTCGATGGACAGCGGAGTTGAGCGAGCGTGTTGCTCGAAAAGAAGTGATTTTGTTCATGACGGGCGATCTCAACTACGCACCGCCACGCAGAATGCCGAAAACGTGATGGATGGACCAAGAGCCAGGCGTTTGTCAAGGGGACCGAATCTGACAGACGCACGGGCTTCAAAGCTATAACTCCTAGAGAAGAACAGGCGAAAACTAGCGAGGGTTATGGCACTGTTGAAGAGCACGTTCCCCACTTATGTGCTCTCGTCCTACATTCTATCGCCGAGAACGTGGACTCCACGTTCTGGTCGGACCAGAACCACTATTTGCAACACTTTGAGCCAACTACTCACCGAACAAAAAGATTAGGGCATTTGAGTAAGAACAGGCTGATCAGCTATCCAGACAGACCTGACGTCATCTTCGGCGAGATCATGTCGACCGGCTTTTGCATGTCCACTAGTCCCTGAAGAAGAAAAATATTCACGGAGAAGGAAGTGACAAACCGTACACTCCGTACACGATCAGGGAGAATGCAGGTAGATAAGGACGTAATTGAGATTATTCAAGCCAAATGCATGAATGCGCGTGGATCTTGTTCTTACCGCAATGACGAAGCCCCAGTTGGCCAAGGGACCCCAGAAGTGTGACGTCTTGGGACCCACAGGGCTGTTCCAGAACGCCTTCGCCGCAGCTGCTGCCATGCTTACTAGTCAAAAGACTTGGTTTAGTGTGGATCAGAAAGTATAAACGCAAACGGCTCCGCCGAGTGCACCCAACGATGACTCAACAGCGAGAAACGCGCTGCTGAAACTGGTCCCTTCCTGGTTAGGACGGGATGGTGTTGCTATGGGGTATAGCACCTATCTGTCGGATGGAATCTAGAACTAAAATCTAGTGGCAAAATCCCGAGTCTTCTCTACTCTGAAGAAAAGTGGAGGCTGGAGGGACACGATGTGCTACTGATGGAGTTCCGTGGGATTCAAAGGGTTTCCAAACGATTTGGCGTGGTGAAGGGGAGGAAGAAGGAAACGTTAGGGAAGCTGTGATTGGTTCGGCTGGGAACATGCCTGTCTTGTCGCCCTGGGGTTGGCTCGTCAAGAAAAGATGCCCGTCGGATCTGGTTCTGATTTACTCTGAAAATGAGGGAGTTTCGCGCCACTTCCCGCAAGTTTGCCGTGAGTACACTGCTGCAAAGAGTTTCCACTTCCATAGTGAATTGTGTTTGCGAAGGGTTGGGCGCCGATTCAAATTTTGGAGTTTACGTATAAACTCGGCCCCTTGGTTTAGGAGCGGTTGTCGTCCTGGTTTCGGATTCTAGTCCAGAGAAACTGGAAAAAGCCAGCGCAACACACAAGAAGCAAACTGCAAGTGCCACGTCCAGCAAATGGCGACGACGAATCAACGAAGCACTACCCAGAGATTGGGGGATCTTTACACTGGCAACAGATCCACGTCAGAGCGCATAACCGTCCTAATGCGATTGTCTTTTTTTGGGGGGAAAGTCTATCCCAGCTCCCGACTTTCAGTTTTTTCTCATATTTAGCCCTATGTTTACTCAAAAAGCACCACTTTTCTTTATTTCTCTCACGCGAGGCCCAAAGTATGTTCAAAACTGGTCCTGCGGGGCGAAGTTTTCGACACGTGTTCTTTTGTTACCAGCTGACGCACTTCCACTCTGAACTAACCGTTTGTCAGGGCAATTTTCGCGCCGGAAAAGTTTTTACGGGACAAAAAAGCATCAAACCCCTAAAGGACCATTACACATTTTCGGGAGGGAGCAACCCTAAACACGGGACCTGCTAGGTGTTTAGGGTTGATCCCTCCCGCGAATGTGTCCTGGTTCTCTAGGGGTTTTATTTTTTTTGCCCCCCTCCAAATTTTCCATGCGTGGAAGTTCGTCAGATGGTGTAACAAGAGGACACGTGTCGAAAAAATCGCCCCGCAGGACCACTTTTGAACATACTTTGGGCCTCGCGTGAGAGAAATTCTAGAAAGTGGTGCTTTTTGAGTAAACCTAGGGCTGAATATGAGAGAAATCTGAAAGTCAGGAGCGGGGATATACTTTCCATTTTTTGGGTTGCGAAGTGTTACGAGTGCAAGTGAGTGATCGAGCGAGAATTGCACTAACGAAGCAAGAATACAATGAGCGAAGGCATGAGCGAAGAATATATAGCGAAACTACAGTGGTAACGGTAATGGACTGTGGTTGTCGCGCGACGGGCCTGGGACTGAGGTTTGGAGAAGTGTCAAAGCGGAGGCCCGGAGCGCGGGTTACCAGCCGAGCCGTGAGGTCGGGGTGCGACATGCGAAGGTGGCGGGAGGATTGTCGATGCGAGAGTTGCGAGTGGTAATGATGCGGACTGTGGTGCTACAGTGGTGTACGCGCAGAGCGGGGACGCGAAGTAAGGAAAAGGAATTCCCCCCCCCCCCCCCCTCCCCCCTAAGGAGGTCCTCCTTACGAAAGCGCGTGGACATCCCTGAAGTTTCGGCTGCGCAGATACTCTGTGAGGACGGGGTGGTTTTCGACTCTGTCCAGGGGAACCCAGTTGTCTTCGGTGGGTGTCCGGTCTGTCCAGCGTATCAGGAACTCGATCCTTCGGGCTCCTCGAGGGTCACAAACCCTTTGACTCAGGAATTTTTTGGGTGTGATGGTTTGTCAGAATGTTATATTTGTCTAGCCTGCAGTGGGGTGCTCTGTAGCGAGTACAACCCTTCTAGGGTTTGCTATTTGTATCCCCATTCTTGCTAGTTCAACCCTCTCTTTTTGCCTAATTCTCTCGACATGCTATCAGAGCAGGTCGACCCTCCTGGGTCGATCCTGTGGGTGGGCCCACCACCTAATGCTTCCGCTGCTGTACTTCCTGCCGGGCGCCTCGGGCGCGCGACGACTTCTTCCTGCCGCGCGCGGAGCGCGCGGCGAATTTTTTCTAGGGTTTCGGCGGTTTTCATCCCGCCGTGCGCTCGGGGCGCGCGGCGGTTTTCTGCACGCCGTGCGCCCCGAGGCGCGCGGCGGTTTCCCACCGTCGAAGCGCCCTCCCCCCGTCGCCGTCGACCCCCCGCGTCGCCCCGCAGCCCCGCGCGTCGCCCCCGACGTCTCGTCGCGACACCTTGGGGAGCCGCGCGCGGCCCCCCGCTACCTCGTCGCGACGCCGTGGGGAGCTGCGCGCGGCCCCCGCTGCCTCGTCGCGACGCCTTAGGGAGCCGCGCGCGGCCCCCCGCTGCCCCGTCGAGGCGCCCTGGGGAGCCGCGCGCGGCCCCCGCTGCCCAGAGGTGGCGCCCTGGGGGTCGCGCGCCTTCCCCCTCGCCGTCCCCCGCGCTCCTTCTCCCTTTCGCCCGTTTTAGGGTTTGGGGGTGGGGAGTGTGGGGGTGGCGGCTGTGGGGGTGTCGGTTGTGCGTTACTCTACCTACTCCTCCTCCTCCCTAGTCTCCCTCTACTGCAGCTGCCGCTGAGGGGGGTGGTGTGTGGGAGTCTAGGGTTTGGGGTTTAAGGGGGGGTACCGTGGGAGTGGAGCTAGGGGTGAAGCAAGGGGTGTGTGTCGAGGGGTGTGGGACTGTTGGGGGAGGTTGAGCGGAGACTGCCGTCGTGTCGTCCGCAGCACCTGTATTCCGGGGTTCCGCGGACCTCCGGTAGCTCAGAGAGCCGGCTGCACCTGTCGCCCGTGGGTCCGCTGCACCCTCCGCAGCGACTATTACCCCTGTAGTCCGGGGCTCTGCTTCCGGTAGCCACTAGCGTTGCGCCAGAGCCGTCTGATGCCCGTGTGTCTGCAGCTTCAGTCGTCGCCTCCACTCCTTTCTCCTCTCGCCAGCCCTCCTCCTCCTCATTTGTCCTCTGTGACCGCCTCTAGCTTTGCTCATAACTTATAAACTGTTGCTTCTTGAACTTGTGCTCAGAATGTGTGGTGACATCGTGATCCACCCTGAGCTTGTACTGCTTTCCTTGCTCTGCTGATTACACCCCACTTTGGCTATGGGGGTGTGTCAGAATGTTATATTTGTCTAGCCTGCAGTGGGGTGCTCTGTAGCGAGTACAACCCTTCTAGGGTTTGCTATTTGTATCCCCATTCTTGCTAGTTCAACCCTCTCTTTTTGCCTAATTCTCTCGACATGGTTGGTTCAGTCGGCGGTCGTGTCATGCTGGCTGGTCGATTACGTGGCAGTTGGCTCGTGGACGGGACGTAGGGGCGAAGCAGACTGACGTGGAATGAGGGGCTGACGTACCAGTCAGCGGGTAGGAGGAGGTGGGCAGTGACGGCCGTAATCATGCGGCTGATGCGAAATGGCCCCCAATATCGGGGGCGGAGTTTTGGGGTGATGGGCAGGCGGAGGTTCTGAGTATCGAGTAAAACTAGGTCGTCAGGTTGGTAAGTGACAGGTCGGCGGTGGCGGTCGACGTTACGTTTAGCGATGATGTTCGGTTTTTTTATAGCGTCTGTTGCCCGGGTCCGTGCTGCTTGTAAAATTTCGGCAAACTCTTGTGCTCGTGGCACCGGGTTGTCGGGATTTGGGGTCATGGGTACTTGTCAGAGGTCCACTGGTGATCCCCGATTGATCCTAGGGAAGGGTTACAGGCACGGCGGCCTGGGGGGTTATGGGCGCACTCACCCGCTACACAAACAAGCCCTTTTATCCTAGTGGTTAGTGGCTGGGATTCTGACATGGTATCAGAGCGAAGGTCTCGGGTTCGAATCCCGGTGTGTGCACCTCGGGCATCCCAGTGCGGGGGGGTGTCAGAGGTCCACTGGTGATCCCCGATTGATCCTAGGGAAGGGTTACAGGCACGGCGGCCTGGGGGGTTATGGGCGCACTCACCCGCTACACAAACAAGCCTTTTTATCCCAGTGGTTAGTGTCAACAAGAAGAGACTGGAATGATTGAACTAACAGAGAAATCAGTACAAATAGCAAACCCTAGAATTGTGTACCCCATATAGGCTAACCCACTGTAGCCTAACAAACCCAACATATATAATGTTTGACACACCCCCATAGGCAAAGTGGGGGAGACCTAGGGGTCACAAGACCAGTCAAGGCAAAGCAAGGCAACAACAAGCTCAGGGTGGATCTCGAGGATTCCACACAAATTCCGAGCACAAGCTAGTGGTCACAAGACCAGTTCACATGCAGGTTTATAACAGAGTCAGAGATACAGTGATCACAACCTAGCAAGAGTAAACATGCAGGTATAGATATATATAGTGATCACAGTACAAGCAAAGTCAAGAGGTAAGCAAGTGAGGTCCAGTAGGCACAAGGCCTAGTAGAGTGCAGAAGCGCTGATGGTCACGAGGCTGAAGCGCCTTGGTGAACACATCAGCAGTGTTGGCCTCAGTGGCCACGTAGCGAATACAAAGCTGACCGCGCTGCTGCAGCTCTCGAGCAAGGAAGTACCGCAGAGCGATGTGCTTCGTTCTGTGCTCAAGTCTGTGCTCCTCACACAAGGCAATGGCAGCCTTGTTGTCGACGTACAGTACTGGAGGAGAACGAGGTGGCTCTCCGAGGTCAGTCAGCAGGTAGGTCAGCCAGCGTAGCTCCTGGGCAGCCATGGCTGTAGCGTAGATCTCAGCCTCGCAACTGGAGCCGAGAACAGAAGAAGAGCGTGTAGAGCGCCAAGAAACTGAGCCAGAGCCAAGGCTGAAGGTGTAACCCTGAGACGACCGCTGAGTGGCCTGGTCGTCTGCCCAAGAAGCGTCTGAGTGCCCTGTGAGCACAACTCGGTCTCGCCCTCCAAGCACAAGCCCCATGCCCGACGTACTGCACAAGTAGCGCAACACCCTCTTAGCGGCATCCATGTGCTCCTTCCGGTGACGGCCAGGAGCGACATAGCGTGCAAGGATGCTAAGAGGGTATGCAAGGTCAGGTCGAGTGCAGGTCATCAGGTACATGAGGCAGCCCACAAGCTCTGGATACGGGCCACTCGGCTCTACGGACTCATCCGAAGGCAGAGCTGAGAGCGAGTGACCGGCAGGCAGAGGAGTGGTCTGAGGCGAGGAGTACGTGAAGCCAAAGCGCTGGAGAACCTGCTGCACCATGTGTGACTGAGTCAAGGTGATGGTGCGCCGTGCTCTGTCCCGGGTAATCCGTAAGCCAAGATAGCTTGTCAACTCACCCAGGTCTGTGCACGTGTGTCTCCTCTGCAGCTCCGACTTCACGTAGGCGAGTCCTGCAGTGTCAGCAGTGGCAAAGACCAAGTCGTCGACGTACACGAGGATGT